GCAGGACCAATCCCAACTAAATCAACCCGGCCAGGGCTTTGTCGAGCCGAGACTTAAACACCTCTAGGGATGGAGACTCCACTACTTCCCTAGAGAACCCAGCCCAGCGCTTCCCCACCCGCCTAGGGAAATTATTTTTTCTAATCTCCAACTTAGACCTCCTCTACTGCAACGTAAGCCCATTGCTCCTCGTTCTGCCATCTGCCCCCACCGAGAACATCCTCTCTCCAGCCTCTTGGGAACTCCCCTTCAGGAAGTTGAAGGCTGCTCTCAAATCCCCACTCCCTCTTCTCTTCTGCAGACTAACCATACCCAACTCCCTCAGCCTCTCCTCGTAGGTCATGTGCTCCAGCACTCAAGACATTTTGATCGCCCTCCGCTGGACCCTCTCCAATGCATCCACCTCCTTTCTGTAGTGGGGGGCCCAGAACTGGACACAGTACTCCCGATGTGGCCTCCCCAGTGCCGAATAAAGAAGGAATCACGCCGATAATCTTACCTACTGTTTACATCTCCTTACAGAATCACGTCATTAAGAAGTCATCCAAAGGCCAAGTGAGCTTTTCAAAGGTAGCGCGAAGTATCCACAATTGTCTCTATTCAGGAAACATTCCTAGTTCTTGCCAATCACCCAGGCAAGACTGTTACCGCTCTGAAGTAGCTTAAAGAAAAGGCTTTCCCAGCCAGAGTGGCTGAACCGGTTTTTTCAGGGTCCGTAGATTTGCTTGAGAATTTACTTTCACATTTACCCAGGGATAAGCCGGTTCAGCTTTGCCGGAGAGGTGCCTTCGCCTCCGGCTCAGTGGGCGGCCACTCTGCCCTACTACACACCCACGACGTGAAAGAGTTCAAGTCAATACGTCTATAATCCGGCCCTGCTAAGGACAGGTCGGAGGCAGAGAGTCCAGGATTTCAAACACTTCCAGCACAGGAGGGCTTGTTCCTAGATCAGGCCAGGCCGGCAAACCACCCACAGGGCTAGTTTGTCAGTTCCACAAGAGCCCAAGCCCAGTTCAGGCGGGGCAACAGACAAACAGTTTCAAAGCCCCAGCCTTGCTTTCGGCGATGTAATAACCCCCGAGGCCTTACATCCACCTGGGCCAATGCCCTTGATTATAAAGGCCCGGGCCCTGGCTCGGAGTGGGGCA